TGGTTCTGTCCACATTTCTGTCAGTATTTGGTGTTTTTATTTAAGATGCTCTGTATTAAGGTCATCGGTACTAAAAATACATTCCAATGCCTACACCAACTTGAAATATATTTTAGCCCTGTGGGTGTTTAATTCATTAATTTCATCATGAGGAGCCAGGCAATATAGTATCATTTGTCCACCTCTCTGAACAAGACTCGAGCTATATCTTCAGTTGCCAAATAAATCGAATCCAAGTTTACTAAATAATTTGGCTCTGTGACATAGGAATTAACAAATATTCATCCAGAAATATGCAATGGAACCTGTTGTCCAAATTTTTTGTAATTACACTATGTTCCGATCTTTGAGTAATTGTTTTTAAAAGCTTCAACAACAATTGTTTCTGAGTAAAAATAATGAATATAATAGCTTGAAAAAATACTTAAGAAAAAACATTTTTATGTTTGAGATAAAAGCATATTAGTAAAATCAGATGAGCTTGTTACATTGACAAGGTGTTTTCAATTAATCGAATAACTTTCTAATCCCCTTTTAAGGGGTTCACAAATCTAGTACTCCTCTAGAGAAAACAGCCTGAACTTACGCCTGGTTGTTTTTCTGAGGATAGCTACGTACTCACTTTTTTTCAGTTTTGGGGTGTGTGTGTGTGTGTGTTGGGGGGTGGTGGGTAAGAAACCCATAGTGTCACAGATCCCGTTGTCCTTGAACACTTTTTCCTTATCTTCAGATTCCCCAGTAATCTTTGGGGTTGTCCACTCAAGGACTATAACATTGTATGTGTAAAGGAAAAAAAAAAAAAGATCTTGTTCTTCAAGGCCTTTAAATTGGTCACAGATTTATTCAGCCTTGTTCCCTTTTCCACAGTACATAGAGGTTATCTGAATACTCTTTGTATTTCAGACATTGCAAACTTAATAATAAACAGGCTGCCCTGACCTTGCTCCTTGTGGCTTTAACACTCTCTTCCACATTAAAGGAGAGGCATTCAGAATTTTTGACTTTTTTTTTACTCTCTTATCCTTATTCATCTACTCAACCTAATTCCTGGATTTGTTCAAGTGAGAATACTTGCCACTTCCTCCTGTTAATTCTTAAACTGTTGCCTCTCATCCTCTTGACCGAACACTAGAGTATTAAACATTTGGTCCTGCAGTGTAAGAGTAAAAAGAACCAATGTTTCTTGAGCACCTATAAATTAAGGACAATGTCCAGGGTTCTTACATAATCTAATTTACTCTTTTTTTTTTTTTTTAAGAATGTAATATTTTTTATTTTTAAAATCATTTTTACAAATCTATTATTTTTAAAATTGAAGTATAGTTCACATGCAATATTATAGTAGTTTCAGGTGTACAACATAGTGATTTGACATTTATATAACACTATGGGATGCTCACCATGTTAAGTGTAGTTCCTATCTGTCACCACACAAAGTTATGACTATATTATTGACTATATTCCCTGTGCTATACTTTACATCCCTGTGACATTTATTTTATAACTGGAAGTTTGTACCTTTTAATCCTCTTCACCTACTTAACTCATCCCTTCAAACTTCCTCCCCTCTGGAAGCCACCAGTTTGTTCTCTCTGGATTTATGAGTCAATTTTTGTTTGGTTATGTTTGTTCATTAATTTTACTTTTAGATTCCACATGTAAGTAAAATCATGCAATATTTGTTTTTTTCTATCTGACTTATTTCACTCCACATAATCCATTCATAGTCCACATAGTCCACATAGTCCATTCACGTTGTCACAAATGGCAAGATCTCATTCTTTTTTATGGCTGAGTAATATTCCACATATATACCACATCTTTATCCATTCATATATCAGAGGACGCTTCGGTTGTTTCCTTATCATTTCCATATTATTTCATGTTAGTCTTCATAGCAACTCTTCTAGTATGATATCTGTTCTACAGTTTAAGAAAATGAGACTCCAGAGACTTTGCATAACATCTGAAGTCAATTAATTTGTGTCAGATCAATTAATTTGTGTCAGTTAGAACCAAAACATCTAAGCCTAGATGTTTTGGTTGACTTCAAAATTCATGTTCTTTCTTTGTTCATCTCTGGTTTTTGGGCTAATTTCTTAAAATAGTTTAGGCTGCTCATAATAAATGACCTAATAAAATGGTCAAAAATAAAGACCCACAAAAAAGAAATGGAGAAGGGAAGTGTAACAGGATTTGGAAGAAGGAATGTATTATAACAAAGCGTCCAGGAAAATGCAAAGCTTTTAAAAATATTTTTATTTTCCTAATGGTGGACATCCGTGGTTCAAGCGATGCTTCCTTTAGCTCTTGCTTTTGCATTTGACTGATTTGGGGGGATGAAAGAGATAGAGGTCTCTTTAGGTTATAGAGGACAAACCTGCCTCTGGATTCTGAACAACCTGGCATCTTAGGTACTTTGTTGTGGGCAGAGAGAAAAAGCACCTGGCAAAGCATCTCTTGGCCACCTTGCCCTGAGCTTTTCTGTACTTTGATACGGATTTACAAATGTTCCTAAGTATATCCAAAGTGCTGACTCTTAACACAAGACTTCCACACAGGGATGGAGTGGATTTGATGACAGTTGGGGGGACTGCCTTTGCTATATCCCTTGCCCCTGCTGTACCTCGGTCTCCCACATTTCTCTTACAACTTCACCCATGTCTTGGTTCTGTAACTTATTGCACACTACTGTCTAATTTCTGGGAAGTTGACACAGAATGAAAGAAAAAAACTCTGGGACTTGGAGCCAGGAGACCTCTCAACTCATTATTTGGTAATATGGACTTGTGCACCTTTATTCTTAGGACCTTATGTTTACACATCTGTAAAATAGAATAATTTCCTACCATCCCTGCCTTGCCAGACCATGTTCTCCTCCATGGGCATGTGATGGTCATTCAGAAAATGGATAAAGGAGAGCTTAGTAACCTGAAGTGTCTTACAGTTGGGAGGGCTTATCACAGAAACTCCTGTTTATATGACATGGACTTATAATTGTGAGTTCTCCAAAAGGTCTAAAGAGAAAAATCTGTGCCCTCGTACTTTAAAATCAGTAATTGTAAAATGCAGCTGAATTGTTAATGGTACATCAACTGTCATCCTTATTTATGCAAATGTGTACACAGCATATTGTTTGAATTCCTCTAGCCGTGACTCTTCAGAGACAAGGAATGGAGCCTTCGCTGTTTTGTGTAATTATGGAGAATGCAGAGCAGCAGCCTCAAAGGCCAAGTGTCGTCCCACAGTGGCACTCAAGTGCTAGAGGCCCCCTTTTATTATTCTTTCAGACACTTTATACCACATTTGTCGGGAACCTGGGTGCATTTGTAGAGCCCGCAAAATTTTGTATTTTATGTATCTATAATAAAACTCAGAAAACATTTTTTTTTCTTTTTTTCTCTCTCCTCTAATATAAATATGGCTGCAGGGAGGAGAGAGACAGGAACAAAATAATGCCTTTTGTTTGAGAATTATAAAAGTGGAGTGTTTCCCACCAGGGGTTAGAAACAGGCTCAAGCCCAGTCTTCATTCTGTGGTCACAGTAATTACTCACTGCAAATGCCATATAGTTTATGAAGTTCTTCCTCACCTTCTCCTTTCCGGTTCTCTCCATAACCCTACAAGGTAGGTCGGATTATTATCCCTGTGTATCCACTACCCTATGAGCTTCTCACAGATGAGACTGTTTCTTGCCAGTTTTTCTACCTCTATCATCCAACTCGAGTAAGTGTATATGTATTTAGTTTATATAGTTTTCTTGTGAGAAAATAATTGCAAGGGTGTTTCGTGGCCCACACAAGGACCCATGGTTTCTAATATATGCTAGAGGAAGTCTTACACTTCAATTTTCTGATGATATATCCTGCTGTGATTGTAGTAGATATCACCAGTTCTATAATCAGAGAAAACTTGCTGAATGGCAGTTGAGTAGGGAATGTTTTATGTAATATAATGCATAGAGTGAGAAACCAATCCCAGTAAGTTTCCAAATTGAAGTTATGCTAAATGGAATTGTTCTTTTTCCCTTGTCTCCCAGGAGACTTGTCAACAGAAGAGTTGTTTGGGCGCCAGGCTTCTCCTGTGTAGAGAGGCTGTTGGCAACCCCATGGATTCTCTCATGGCCCATGAACTTCTAAGCTGAGAAAGCATGGTTCCATGTTGGGGACTCTGCATGACAGCAGGCTGTGCTGCCAAATACCCTGTTTGATTGGCTTTGCACTAATTTTCTGCATATCCCAAATGGCCCAGGAAACTGCAAATGAAGGGCCTCAGCTGCAGTTTGAAAATGGCATCTGCGTGTCTTTCATAAGCCTGTGGGTCTTCACTGAGTTCTTTTCCCTCAATGATTTTCAAGCTTGTTTGACTTGAAGGACAAGAGAGGGGAAAGGGATGGAGAAAAAATAATATAGAGGCAAAAAGATGCAATTATTTTCCCCCTCACAAAAGAGATTCTTTAGGAAGGTATTCAACTTTGTACTCTATACATTCAGGAAAAATATGATTTGATGATAGCCTTATAATCCTTCCCTAGTTAAAAAAGAGTTCTTGGAGAAAGACAATTATCATATGGTTTCACTTATTTGTGGAACATAAGGAATAGCATGGAGGACATTAAGAGAAGGAAGGTAAAAATGAAGGGGGGGAAATCAGAGGAGGAGATGAACCATTAGAGACTATGGACTCTGGGAATAAAACTGAAGGTTTTAGAGGGGAGAGGGGGCTGGGGGGATGGGTGAGCTTGGTGATGGGTATTAAGGAGGGCACATATTGCATGGAGCACTGGGTGTTATACACAAACAATGAATCATGGAACACTACATCAAAAACTAATGATGTACTGTATGGTGACTAACATAACATAATAAAAAATTATTAAAAAAAGAAAAAGAAAGAAAGGAAAAAAAAGTTCCTGGATGGAAACACAAGTAACTTCTTGTCATAGGTCCCAGAGGGATATTTTTACAAGTGTATAGTTCAAAGCCATGTTTTAATCTGAGACCTGTTGGATATGACCAGTCACCCCCCTCCAGTGTCACATGCTCACTGTCATTCCCATGTTTGTGTTCCTAGGACCTCGATGCAGTCTCAGTCTACATACGGTAACAGCTCCCCACCTCTGAACAAAATCAACAGCATGAACAAGCTGCCTTCCGTGAGCCAGCTTATCAATCCTCAGCAGCGCAATGCCCTCACCCCCACCACCATTCCTGACGGCATGGGAGCCAACAGTAAGAGCTTCTCCCTTTAACTTCACCTTAGGGGTCATTGGGGCTAGTGTATGAGAAGACTCTGCTTTGGGTTGGGGGAGAGGCTTGCTCCTAAGCTAAGGAGAGGCAGAGTGGGACAGAACAGATCACAGTTGAATGGCTTGAGTTTCTTATGGTGAACTTTTTGTCACTTTGGAAGTGTATGGTTCATTACAAAGCACAGTGGGAGACATAGAGGGGGTTGTTCCTTCAGTAGGGAAAAATATCTCTGTGATAACAATGGTCCACTTCCTGTCAACCTGATGGGGACCCACCTCCCACCTCCTTTGAGAAAGCGAAAAGGAGGTCTTTGCAACATGTGGGAAGTAGCATGGTGCAGTAGACTTAAAAGTCCAGAGAAATAGATTAGAGTCTGACCTCTATTGCAGTATTAGCTGTGCAACTGTGGGCAAGTCACCTCTCTGCTCTGATGCTCAGTTTCCATTCATAAAGTCATCACTGCGTGGGGCCCCTGGGTGGCTCAGTCGTTAAGTGTCTGCCTTCGGCTCAGGTCATGATCCCAGAGTCCTGGGATCGAGCCCTGCATCGGGCTCCCTGCTCAGCGAGAAGCCTGCTTCTCCCACTTCCCCTGCTTGTGTTCCCTCTCTTGCTGTGTCTCTCTCTGTCAAATAAATAAATAAAATCTTAAAAAAAAAAATTTAAAAAAATTATCACTGCGCATTTACCATCTTATGATTCTGTGTCCCTATGATCTTGGTCTTCTCAGCTTATCTACTGCATCTTGTATACAGTTGTTAAGGAACTGACATAGAGAAGAGAGTCTCCCTTTTACTTATTCACGCACAGATTCCTCACATCAACTAAGTGTAACTGTAAGAGGCAACGTGAGAACAGGCCTCCAAATGGATGATGATTGCTATATAGCTTTGCTGTAAATAGAATTATCTTATCCACTAGAACTAAATCTAACAGAGTGAATTCCCAAACTAGAGAAAACCAAAAGGAGGATAAAATGCAGAAGGATGTCTCATATCCTCAGGGATGCAGAAGACTAAACACTGCACATGTATCCTATAATGCACCTCAGAAAACAATGCCTCAATCTTGTCCTTTGAAAGCCTTCATTATTCTGATCAAGCCTTTCAATGTGCATTTAAGTATTGCCTTGAAGAGACTAGGTGTTTTGTTTTGTTATTTAAAGAAGTTAAGGGAAGCTAGGATTGTGACTCTCTACGGTCTGATGGCAAACATTCAGATTTAAATGAGATAGAGTGTGTGCGATATGGTTGCCTGATCTGGCAACAAAGACTAGAGCCAAACTGCTCTCTCACTAGTGATCAATGCATCCTAAGGCTCAAATTCTTACCCCTTGACAGGTCTGCTGTTTTGACAGTAAAAGAAAAAAGCACCATGTATATTTTTAATTTATTTTCTTTCTTGTGACATCTTAGAGTCCTTTTGTTCCTTCACGTTTGTGAAAGTTATAGTTTGCCTACATTTTCTCATTTATACTTCACAAGTTTTCTCTGATATCATCAACAAAGTCAGAGGGAAAACTGATGAGATATGATAAGCCCATGCTCCTTAGCTGGCCAGTTAGTGGCAGAAGCCTCTCCTTTTTGGCATATTTGATTCACTTACAAAAAAAATAAAAATAAAAAAGCAAATTGCATTAATCTTTTTGTAGATATGTTCCTTTGCTCTTTTTTTCACCTGAAGACAAAATTTGCCTCATAAGTATTATCAGTATTAAGCTTAACTTCTCTATAGGTGAATGTTTCCAGTTTGTAGTTTAGTAAAAAAAAAAAACAATCAGGGTTGCTGGTGTCCCCGAATACAATCCAGAAATGGACCATAAGAAAGAGCTGGAATCTTTAATTTCATCCTTCCTTATTAGGCCTATGGTTCCCAAATATTGCAGTAAATACTCCTATCCCCAGACAAATATCCCAGAGGTCACTCTCTCATTCACATGTCTCTGCATTTGTTCACTGCACATCAGTTTACCGAGCATGTGATTGGTGCCAGGCACTGTGCTAGGTGGGGATTGAGACATGTACAAGGTCTAACTAATCTCCATGCTTGAGGAATTAGCCTAATAAGAGAGACAGAATTATAACCCATGAAGGCAGATACAAAGAGGAATGTGCTAACATCAGGGGTAATGAACAGTTAGAGCATTAGAACTAGGGAAGGAAGTGGGGGGGAGATTGTCCAAAGAGAATGTGCAAAGGTCAAGAAGTGTGCAACTAGTTTGGAGTTTGGTGACTGTTCTGTTCTGTTGGATGAGATGTAGGGTGCTCGAAGGGGTGTAGTGAGAGAGAAGGCTGACTAGGAAAGCTGGTGAATTCGGCCCTTGGTAACGTTAAACCAGGCAAGAGGGACCACTGGGAAGCTGGTGCTGATGATGGCAGTAACCCTTTCTGTTCCTCCTGCTTCTGTTCAGTTCCTATGATGGGCACCCACATGCCAATGGCTGGAGACATGAATGGACTCAGCCCCACCCAGGCCCTCCCTCCCCCACTCTCCATGCCATCCACCTCCCACTGCACTCCCCCACCTCCGTACCCCACAGATTGCAGCCTTGTCAGGTGAGTCCACAGCATGTGCCCCTGGGGGCCTGTCCGAAGCAACTCTGGGTGGCGGAGGGTGGACACTCTCAGAGTTCATGACACAGTTGGGAGAAAAATAAAAAAGAAAGCAGCCCTTCCTCTGGTGGCAGTTCAGCACTGGTATCTCTGCTCTGTGGAGTGGTCAGCAGTGTTTCATCGAGGAAAAGCACTATGATCCGCATGGGAAAAAGTGAAAATGTGAGTTGATAGGCATATCCTTTTTCATGCCTGTTTCCCCCATCTTCACTTACCCCCTCCCTCCCTCACAGTTTCACATGGTCAGTTGGGGCCTTCAAATTGGTGCTCAGGGCTGGGGTTCCCAGAAGGGCAGTAAAAATGCTATCTCGCTCCCTTTCCCGTTCTCCAGGACTCATAGCTCTCAGCCACCATGGCCTCGTTATGTCAGAGGGGGATGTGCATTAAAAAGTTTGAATGTGTGCAAAAACGACAGGGCCTTTCAAGAACCTGATGGCCGCTGTTCCTTGGTCATCGACAGAGTACGCACACTAGGCAAGGGCGTTCAGATAGCCAGGAGAAAGAAAGGCCTGGAACCTCAAAGACCTTCTCCCCCGTGGCAAGAGTGGGTGCCACATCTCACGCCTAGCACGCGTTGCCTGCCCCTGCTTCATGTGCAGAATGATCCTCTCGTTTGGCTGCTGGAATAATGTGTGTTGATCACCCTGTGACTGATGCAGCAGCACCAAGCAGCGTCAGTCAGAGAGATGGCCAAGTGCATGGCTTGCGCCACCCAGCCTGTGGCTCAGTGATGGTGGCACCCAAAAGGAGGGGGGTCTGTATGCTGAGCAGGACATAAATCAGAAGGCATGAATGACTTCATAGTATAGTGGCCTCCAGTTTTTCTTAGCCACGTGAACCATTCTCAGAAACCCCAGATACAAAGCAATTCAAGTAGAGATGCTGCTTTTTTGAAGTGAAGAGGCAGGAGGCAAGAGCGCTGGGAACCTGACCACTGGACTCCTTCCTTTCACCCCCTGCAATGGCTCCTCAGGCACTTCTCTCTGTAGAACCCCTAGAATTCCACCAATCACCATTTGAAAATCGCTGCTCTGCAGGAATTCTCGGAGTTGATTTTAATGTCTAGAGACCTAAAGTTCAAGTCACTACCCATCCCCAAACCTTAAATCCAAGGCCCACATAGATTGATTTCATCTGCCCCTAGTCTCTCCTGTAGGGCATCCCAGGGCAAAATGTTGGGTTTTCCTTTATCTCGCCAATGCAGTTGGGGTGAACTTTCTTTTTCTGTTTCCTCCTTCCTATTCCCTCCTCCCTCTGCAGTTTCTTAGCGAGGTTGGGCTGTTCATCATGTCTGGACTATTTCACGACCCAGGGGCTGACCACCATCTATCAGATTGAGCATTACTCCATGGATGTAAGTAACTGTTAGACTTTTCTCTTGAGTTTTATTGCTTCCTTTCCTCCCTCTGGTGACATCCACCTGGTAGTTCAATTCCCCCTGGCTTTAACACTTGTTTTTAGCATGCCCTCAGTCCTCAGTTTTGGTGGAAACCATTACCAGATGAGAAAGACTACCAGGCCTCAGCCTACATACCTGAGAAGCATAGCAATCAGTCTTCCTCAGCTCGTCAGCTTGGCCAACACTTGTGTATTGCACACATATTCTACTCAGAGTGGGAAAGAGGAGATCCAGTTCCTGCCTCCACAAAATTTATAATCTCTGAAGAACTTCGAGAACTTTCTAGATGTTCTCATTAATCTGTATGAGACCCCAGGGAAACTAGCAGGAAGCAGGTGATATTATTCTCATTTTAAAACATGGAGAGACAACAGTATAATCATTTGCATCATGAGATGATGACAGAACCAGGAATAGAGCCCTTAGGTGGAAGCTTCTGGTCTTTAACTCTATTAACTGGCTTCTTCTACCTTTCCTTAAAGTCGGACCTTAAGGAGGATTCAGCTGTTCCTCTCAGTTTGAAACATGTGTTCGTTCATTTTCAATTCTATCAGAATAGGGTCAAGCCATCCCTGACCATTGACAAAAATCACTGGTCATGGTTCAAGTCCTATCCATGCTTTTCAGTAATAATGAGAACTTGAGGTTATTACTTTGCCTCTCTGAGCTTCAGTTTATCAAATGGGGTTCAAAAGCACTCCCTTCTGGCTTTGATGTCCTTTGTCTTTTGGAGCAAGCTGGATAGAAGGGGACTTTTTCTTCCTTCCTACACCGCTTCTTGAACTGCTCACATGGGAGCTTGTATTGTTCTGGTTTATAGCAATCTGATTTTCCTCCCAGGCTGCTCTTCATGCTGCTCTCTTTGGGGTTTACTATCCTCTTTTCCAGCTTCCAGAGGGTGCTTTGGACTGGTGGAAGAAGATACTGTCTGCCTCTGCTGCTGCTTCTCTAGTTGGGATCTCTTCTTTCCCCTCCTTGAGCACCGATCCTAGAGATGCCCCTGCAGCACGAGAATCCCCAGCCCTGTGATGACAAGAATATGCCGTACCGCCCCTCTGCCCACCCCTCCCCCACCCCATAAATCACCCTGACTCCTGCTCCCTGGTGGAATAAATTAAGTGAAAACTATAGAGCAAGCTTTAGAAGTAAGTTTCGACAGGTTTCAAGTCACTTTACAACAATGTCCATCCGTTGAGGAGAACAGAGTTGCCCTGTGCTTGACAGCCCTATGTGACAGAACAGGGAATGCGTCCCTTCCCTATATTTTTAAAGTGATGCCTTCCACTTGCTGACTGTCCCCACTGGGGAGTGTGTCAGGATGCTCCCTCGGCTACTAGGATCTGCAGATGTCCTCCGCAAGTCCCTCTCTGCTGGCATTGGCTAGGTCTCATGCCAGTGTCTGGGTCACAGCTTCCTCACCTGTCAGTTATAAGTTCAGATCTATCTAGAGAATCATACAGCTTGATGGAAGCCAGTTTACAGAGTTCTGGACTTACTGAGAATTTCAGAAATATAAAGACTTACGCTTCCTTATCTAAATGTGGGTTGCCTTCTTTATAATGTATTCTTCTGTTAGAATAGGAAATCAGAGGACCCATACTGTGGACATCCAAACAGGGAAATAACTGGGAGGCTAGCTAATTTCTGCATCCTCGCCTCAGCTTCTTCCATCTCATTACTGGAAATAGAAACCTCTTTTCCAGCTTGTCTCTCAACACCTGTCTGAGTTGTTTGGCATCCCTTCCTGGAAAAAGAATGTGGTTCAATTTGGGAGTTTTCATGAGTATCCCCTCTAAGGTGTCGGGATGGGTTAATAATAATTTAATATAGTAATAATGCAAATGGTGAAGCTTTAGATAGTGTGCTTTATAATTTGCAAAATACTTTCACATCCATATTTACACCTGAGCCCATAATATGTGTTGACCTAAAAAAGGAATTCTGTCCCATTTTACCAAGGAAGAAACTGAGGCCAGTAGGAGAAAAGTGACTTGATGAAGATCTAGAGCCAGTAAGTGACAGAATAAAAACCTCTGTCGAGGTCTTCTTACTCCAAGCACAGTGTTCTTTCTACCCACCATGGGGCTCCATAGAAGATGTGAGCCATCACTGAAACAAGCTAATGAAGAGATAATGCAGATAAATGTGAGAGATGTCACTGAAGTTAGTTAAGATCGAGCACATTTGTAATGCCTTCCACTCCCATTCATAGAACATGGACACATACCCTGCATTTGGATACCCTGATTTATCCAAACACCAAGCAACCTTCTGGCCATTAAGGAAGTTTTAGGCTCAGAGGCTGTCCAGAGTCCCCAATTCATTTACTTAGTTGTGTAACTTTAGACTTGTCAACCTCTCTGACCTTCAGCTTTTCGATCTGTAAAACAGGTGTAAGAGTATCTACCACTAATCTGAGCACTAAATGAGACCATGAATGTAAAATAATTAGTTCAGTCCTGGCATATAGAAAAGTGTTCAATACCTGTTAGTAATCTTTTCTTCTCATCAACTCATTTGAGCGGAGGTTATGGTCCATTAATTTCTCTCTTCTAGTGACTAGAGCCAGGTAGATTTAAGAGTTGGAAGGTACTTTATCTTGTTTTTGTTGCAGGATCTTTGCCCTCTGATCTAACTAATATCCCTATTTTACCAGCAAAGAAACTGAGACCAAGAGAGAATAAGTGAAGTGTTATCCACAAGCAGAAATGGCATCTCAAGGCTGTACCTTTTGCTTAGTTACATATAATGCCAAAGGTTATCCGAGAACTAACTCTATTTTCCAGTGTAGAGAGCAGTAAATTCAGGTTGGTTAAATCAGAACACTGGGAATGACAAAATGATGTGGACTAAATGTCCGTTTGTCCCTTTGTCCTAATTCTCCCTGACTCCCTTCCCTATTGCACAGGATTTGGCAAGTCTAAAAATCCCTGAGCAATTCCGACATGCCATCTGGAAGGGCATCCTGGACCACCGGCAGCTGCACGACTTCTCCTCCCCTCCTCACCTCCTGCGGACCCCCAGTGGTGCCTCTACAGTCAGCGTGGGCTCCAGCGAGACCCGGGGTGAGCGCGTTATTGATGCCGTGCGCTTCACCCTGCGCCAGACCATCTCCTTCCCGCCCCGCGATGAGTGGAACGACTTCAACTTTGACATGGATGCTCGTCGCAACAAGCAACAGCGCATCAAAGAAGAGGGAGAGTGAGCACTACTGTGTGAATGCCTCCCATCCTCTCCCCATCTGTCTGCATCCCTACAAGGCACCAGTGCTTGACCTTCAAAGTGTCCCCTTTAGCTCCTTTCCTTCCTCTTCTCAGTCTGGCTTCTTAAGGGAAGAAGAAGTAAGAGGCTATCTTTGATCTAATGTCCAACCTGGCATCTGATTCCGATTCTGGCTTTAAGCCTTCAAATCTGTTGCTTGCAGGACTGAAGTTATCATGGCTAGGTGGAAGTGAGCAAAAGAGCAGTGGGTGTCTCCTTAAGCAGCAAAGATTTCTGATTGACTTTTATAAAGCATTTTCACCCTTATAGTCTAAGACTATATATATAAATATATAAATATACAGTATATATTTTTGGGTGGGGGGCATGGAGTATTGTTTAAATGTAATTTAAAGGAAAGGAAACTGAGTTGCACTTATCAACTTATTTTTTTAATTTACTTGTTTGGATGGCTTATCTATACCCCTTCTTTCAAGAGGTATTAGGTATGGTAATTGGTATCTAGAGCTTGATGCCATATATGAGTGACAAAAATGTCCTTTCAGTTCTTTTGATGCTAAGCAATTGCCACATCAAACCTTTGGAGGGATCCTGTTATATTTACCATTGCATACTGTATGGGTGAGACCGTATGCATATGTACATGGTTCTCTATTTTAGTGAACTTTATGTTACTGACATACTGACATGGTGGTTCACTTTGGGGTCATTTAGTCTACTTACAAGAAAAAGTCCATGTTCACACTGTCAAACCCTAGAAGAAAGGAAATATCCTCTCTTGCTTTCGGTTGGGAATGGGGAATGTGGGTCATGGCTAAAATTCTTTTTTTTTTTTTTTTAATTT